GCAAGTCCTGATCGTTAAGTACCCTGGGACTCCCTGAGGGCAGAGTCCAAACTTTCTTGCCATCTTTGCCCCCTTGGAGTTCAAAAGTAGAGTCCCACCTAAGCAGGCAGACTCAATGGGAGGCCCTTCTGGCTGAAGACTACTCAGCATATGGGTTTCTATTTTAACAAAGCAAAGCTTTGGCATGCTCTGGGATGGGGTGAGGCTAGGCGGGGTGTCTTCTCTTCCCTTGTCCTGGCAGATGCTCAGTGCAGATGGGCACAGCTGATTCCAGTAGGTCATAGTGAGAGTCTGAGGTCACAAAGGCAAGGCTGGGCCAAGGTGTGCTGCATGATTCTGCAGGAGGAAAATGGGCCATGTCCTGGAGGGAGGGAGCAGGACCCTCTTCTGCAGCCACAATAAACCATGGGCACAGGCAAGAGGAGTTGCAAATAGGGCAGAAAGAACAAAGATGGGGCAGGGAGAGATAGTAGACTGGGAAAGGGAGAGGGATGAGAGGAGGGATGAGGTCCAGGAAAAAAGTAGGGAGAGAATGGGAGACAGATGATGGAGAAGAAGAGGGCGAAGGAAATAAAGACAGAGAAAGACATAGAGACACAGAAAGAAAAAGAGAAAGACAGACACACAGAAAGAGATAGAAGAGGTCCATTCAGAAACAGAAACAGGAAAGAGACACAGACCACACATACAGCGAGACAGGAAGACAGGAGGTACACAGAAGTAGCTTGGAGCATTATGGAATGGGGGAGATGGCAGGGAGATGGGACTTGAATGCCTTCTCCCAGCTCAGCAATCCTCTGCTGACCTAACTCACTTCTCTACTCCCTGCAGATAGGCAACTGAGACCAGGAAAGGGATAGGACTTGCCCTGAGTTATACTTTGTAAGGACATTTCGAATTCCCAGGATTTAAATCTGTGCTCTGGAAACCCTGGGAAGAGGCAAAGGCCAACTCCCACCACAGATGTAGGATGCCAGACCTTGCACCCTAGGTTGCCTTGTGAAACTGGTGTGTGTGACTCGCCACCACGCCCAGTGATGCCCCGAATGGGATGCACTGCCAGAGGGAAGTGTGAACTGGTGTCCACAAAACAGAGAGGAGGAAAGCCCTGCAGGTCCTTCAGACCCCAGGGCAGAGGTGGCAGCAGGACTGTGGGCCAGCTGGCGGTCAGAGTTGATGGCATTGGAAGGGTACTCAGGGAAGGCAAGGGTTCCCTCATGGGCCAGCTTTGCCCTGTTCTTGGCTGAGGACCTCAGGTGTGGCTCTTCATTGCGATCGGTGGTTCCATAAGCTCCCCAGTAAATATTCTTCTGCCAAAGCCCTTTTCTGGTAACTGGCAGAGCTGCTTCCTGACAGGCTGCAGAGCCTGAATTTGAATCCTTGTCAGTTATGAGAGAAGTCACTTAACTTCCCAGTGTGTCAGTTTTCCCATGTGTAATATGAGGACCATAGTAGGTTTCTGAATTATGAACATTTGTGTGGTGAACTTTCACAGATGCAAATGGACCTAGTATTATGTAGATGTGAAAAAAAATCACAAAAGTAGCTCATGGGTCTACAGGACATTGTCAGAGTGGTGCTGCTGTGTGCCTACTGTGCAGTGCGATAGTGTGCAGTAAGTGCAGTGCTCATTCAGAGTCCAGGATGCCCAGAAGCAAGAGGGAAGCAGTGTTGATGTGGAGTTTTGGTTTTCTTATGCTTTACACAATACACTGTGTCAAGGGGTTATAAGACTCTCCTTGTCAGGTACTTAGTGAATCTGACTTATGCATGTTTTGGAATGGACTTTGACCATCAGGGGCTTACTGTACTAAGTATCTATTATTGGGTGGGTGTAAGGATTAATGAGTTGCACGACAGTACAGACACATGGAGGCCTAGGGAGATGCAGGCAGCACTCGAGGGGACACATAGCCACTTGCCTCTGCATGGCAAGTGAATGCATCCTTGCACAAGTCCCTTCCTTTCCCCTGGCTGTTGCTACGCCTGAAAATCATCCCTGGTGGAGAGCAATGGAAGTACTGACCTGCCCTCCAAAGCTTGCTCCCAATGACTTGAGGCCTGAGATCTGCTAGGTGTCTCCCTTTCACCCATGGGCTTTCCCACCCAGTATGGCTTCCTGGGCACCCCCACCTAGGTGTCCCCCCAGCTCCTAAAAATCAGTGCAGCCTACACTGTGTTCAGCATCTCCCTGTGCACTAGTGTTGCCCCTGCTCCTCACCTCCTTGTCATTGCAGTGCCCAAGGTCGCTGGCAGTGGTGCCCTCTTCTGCACCCACAGCTCTGCTCCACCTTAGGGAAGCTTTGGTCACCTCCTTATCAGCCCTCTCCCTCAGCAGGACTAGATGCCACAAGCTGAGCTCCTCTGCCCATAAGCTCACCCAGGCTCTCTCCTGCACTCACAGTGAAGGCCTCTGTGGTGCTACACATCGTAGCCCTCCATGTTCCTCTCTGGTCTCATTTCAATATCTTACACACTCTTTAGCTGAATCCAACCTGCCTCAGAGGTGCAGCTCAAAGGCCTCCATCTCATCCTCCCCTTGCTATCCCCCTCTAGTCTGCTCCCAAGACGAATGCATCATTCCTGGAGGTGGTGCTGCCCCATGGTAAGAGTGAGGACTGTGGGTCCCTTGGCTGTGCTGGTTAATGGGAGCTGGTTAAAACCTCAAGCAAATTACTTCCTGACTCTGATCTTCCTCATTCGTGTCTTCAGTGTAGGCATAACAGCAATGTGTCTAGGAGCATGGTAGAGCTTGCAAACTGGACAATAATCAATGCTTGCTTGTTCTGTGGTGTGTTCTCCATGCTCAGCTGAGCTGAGTGACCACAAGGACCACTGCATACATTGTTCTCCCTACTGGGCAATTCTTGTCCTCTAAGGATTGAGGTTTCAGGGAGAGTTACCTGCAGCGTAACAAGATTGGGGCAGGAAGAGGAACCTGGACCCTTCCCCAGGCTTCTCACAGAAGTGCTTTCCTCTCTGTGGCCTTCTTTCTGAAGGATTCCACTGAAAACACAAATGGAGGAGGAAGCAGCAGCAGCTGGCTGGCTGGAGGTAGGAGGAAACTCAATCATGCATTTCCATGCCCTTAGCTGCATCTTTCTACCTGGGCTGGCTGAACCCTCTCTGCCCCACTTTGCATGCTGATAATAGCAAAGCTCCTCCTATCTTCAGGAGTTAAAGTGCAAGCAGCACTTCAGCTCCAATGAAGCAAATTTTTCCTTAGACACCAGGGGCTGATTGCTACCACCTCAACCACTGATCTGATGTGAGTGGTCTGGTATGTGTCATCCTTGCCCTCCCCATTCTCATAGTCCCCTTACTCTCTGCCATCAGGTCATTTATGGCTGTATTCATTTTGTCTGCTGCAACTGCAAGGGCCTCAGAACAATGGAATGCTGAAGCTAGCACATAGTAGGTGTTCAATAAATTACCTGAATAATAGTGTGCTTGGCTCTGCTCTGAAGAAGAGATACAGGCCCTACTCTTGACAGGGGTAGGGAAGGAGGGACTCCCTTCTCTAGCCTGGGCTATAGCTGAGGCAGAGCTCCCTTAGACTCCAGAATATGAATTAAGAAAGTCTGTTACGTAATCTTGCCCTGACAGCCCTTACTGTCTGGGCCTAATCTGATTTCCACTGCCCCACTCCACAAAGCTCATAGATCACAAAAATGTAGTTTTATAATGCTGGGATTTGGGAAGAGCAGGGAAGTCTCCTCTTCTGCTTGCGTTCCCCCAGGTGGCAGACCTAGATTCCCTCCAGGGAGATCTGTTGTTAGTCATGGACAGGAAGCATGTTCTAGTTGATGCAAAAACCTTCCTGGGCAATCTCTCCCCTTCTGCCAGACCCTTCTGTTAGGAGCACCTTGTCCTGGATTCCTCAGAGCACACTGCTCCCTGGACTGCCAGAGCCCTCCACTGGCATGGCCAGGGGATTGCAGCCCGGCAGGGAAGCAGGCACTGCTGCCTTGCCTTCTACCAGTCCCTCAGCACCAAGGCCAGGCCACAACCTTGGACAGCACCGACAGGTACATGGGCATGCACATATGTATGAGCGATGACAGAGATGCTACAAGAGGGCTCACAGGGATGAGGGCTTTGGAACAGCTAGGCATATAGTCTCAGGGGCGCTCTGCTGTGGGGTAGGGCTACATATGGGAAGGGTGATGTTTGGGTGGGCCAGTAATGGCTGATCCAAAGCATCACATCGACCTCATGCCTAGCTTCCCTCAGATCTTCCAGGAGGAATAGACCACACGCACACACACACACACACACACACACACACACACACACACATTCTCCCCTCCTCCCCAACCAGCTCCAACTGAACACCCTGGCTGGAGGCTGGGTACCTCCAGGAGCATCTGCTGACTTCCCCATGGTCAAGCCAGCATGAAGTTTGCCAGGAGGAAGGAGGATGCAGGCTTTGGTGCTAGTGGGTGGTCTCAATTCAGACCCCACACATCACCTGGAGCTGCCCGCTCTCCTGACCCATCACCCATAGGGCCAGTCTTGGATATTCGATTAGGAAACATGACATCTCACAACCTCTGGCTCCCAGCACGCCGCGCACCTATCACTGGCATGTTCACCCCATCTCTTCTAGGCTTTCTTCTTTCCTCTTCAGTAATAAAGAATCTGATCATGGCCCTCACCCCGGGGGTGCGGGGTTGAGGAGGCGCTCTAGGGAGGGGAAGCATTGTCTGAACAGAGATGGTGCCCTAACGGGGGAGCTTGGGGCACAGGAGCAACATTAGAGGGGAGAAGATGGTCCCTAAAAGGAAGAAGTGTTTTCTTTTTCTTGGCTGTCTCCACACGGAGCACAGGAATTGTGGGCAAATCCTCCATTTCTGAGGTCCCAACACTTAAGGAGTCCTCAAATACGGGAACTGCAGCCCTGAGCGGTCTCCGACACGGGGTCTAACCCACCCCAACCCCCAAACAGCCTTCCTGGGGGCCGGCATACAGTCCATAGGCGAGGATCAAGGGGCACTCACGGGTCGTGTTGTACTTGATGCCATTGAAGTATTCCGGGCACGGCCTCTCCACGAGGGCTCCCGCCACGCTCTGGGGCCAGCATGTCCCGATCTGGTCCAAGGTCGTATTGCAGTAGGAGTAGGGACCTGGCGACGGGAGAGAGTAGAGCGGAGCTCCGAAGAGTGGCCAGGGATTTCTCACCACTCAGGGCTCCGGGCGCGGGGAGCGCGGGATCTTGTGCGCTCTGAGCGCGCCAAGGAAGCAGCCCCGGGATGCCTGGTTCCACTCGCCTCGCGCCTACCCTCGGGGTCCAGGGGTGGTCCCCAGCCGTCCAAGAGCAGCTCTTCGGCCAGCACCAAGCTGCAGTTGGCCTCCAGCAGGCTGTGGAACAGTGCCGCGTCCATCGCGCTCCGGGGCTGAGCGCGCAGAGGCTGTGGGAATGCGCGCCGGCCAGGCTGCGAGGAAGGGAGCGCGACGGGGAGCAGCCCAGAGAGCGCCGGGTCCTGGCTTCTGCTCGCCTTGTCCCGATCTTCTGGGCAGCCTTGGGGCGCCTCACCCCCACCGCCTGGAGCTGGCAACCCCGACCTTTCCGGAGAGCAGCTGCAGAGCCAGCTCTAGGAGCGCGGAGTCCACCCGCTCTGCCGCGGCCAATGGCTGCGCCAGGAGGCGGGGCCGGGCGGCTCTGCCCCAAGACTCAGCCAGCAGCCCCCAGCCCCTCCGGGACTGCCCAGCGTTCGCTCACCTAGGTCCCTGCTCACTTCCACCAGCAAAGTACGGGTTATGCCGGGAGTGCCCCGTCCAAGGATCGAGGCTCAAAGGCCCAGGATTGGCAAGGCCGGCAAAGAGGTCCTACTCTCCTGCAGCCCCCTGCACCGAGGACAGCTACCAGCCAAAGTTGGGCGTCCGGGTGCCTAAGTTTCTTTCCCAGGAACTAAGGCATGGGAAAGGGGAGGGGCCGGACAGTGGAGGTGCAGATTTGTACCCTGGAAGAGACTTTGTCAGCTCTGGAAAGGAAATGGATCGGGCCCTCCAGGGAAGTAGGAAAGCCGCCCAAGAGTCTAGTGAGGTCAAGTGGCCCTGAGAGGTGAAGATATGCAGAGACCGTGGAACTGGGCTGGATCACACTTCCCAGCTGGCACTTAATGCGGGGAAGACGGACTGGAGAGCCCAGTGGGTGAGTGGCTTCCTGTAGAGCCAGAGACAACACTGAGTCTTCCATTCAGGTGACTGAGGAATCAGTGTTGCCATTTAATGAGATGGGGTACTCTACCGGGAGGATTTGGCTGTGATTAATTGAAAGACTTCGAATGCCCTATCTTCATGCCTGGAGAACAGAGAGATCAAGTCAGAAGTGAAGATGTGTCTGTCTGTCTTCCTCTTAGCTTGGGAAGCTGGCTGGCTTCTGTACCAGGGCAGAGGAAGACCCCAAGTCCCTCTGCAGGTTGGGGAAGTTAATATCTTTTATAAGGAATTTGCCCCAGCTTCTCAGATGCTTGCTTGGTACTTGTACTTCGTTCCACCAGCACCCTCAGAGTGCTGGGAGCAGGGTGCTGTCAACCATGCCTACCAAATGGACTCAGTCTAGAGAGATGACCAGAGTAGGGTCTGCCCAGTGAGAGAACGCTGGGCACTCCCTTTGGCGCTAGCCTGACTTTTCCTGACATGATGCCTTAGGCAGGGGTCTTACTGTGTCTTCTAGAGGCTTTTCTTCTCAGTGGAATGTTCTCTGAGGCTCTCTCTGCTTCAGCGAAGTCTCTCTCTGTTCTGTCTCTCTCTTTCTCTATAATGTGCAGATGTGTGTACATGTGTACATGTTTCTATTTTTAAGGGCAGGAGAGTTGGGGTCCAGTTCCAGCTGGACTGGAGGCCCCAGGAACCGGCCCTGCTGTCCCTCACCCCCTTCTTCACTGGGAACCAAAGGTGCTGCAGAAGGGTGAAACCACCCCAAACCAGCTGGGCCCCAGAGCAGGGAGACATGGAAGCAGGCTGACCTGCCTCTGTGTGTTCATCTCACCAACCTCCATATTAATGCTGTTGTCATTGCCCAGGCAGAGAAGAGAGGGAGAGAGGGAGTCAGCTGTGGGGCCACGCCTGAGCCCTGGAATCTCTCCAGGGCCTGCCAACTGGCAGGGATGAGGTGCCGAGCAGTCAGCCAGGTCTGTCCTCTGCCTCCTGAATGGATAGTTAGGGGCCTGGCTCAACTCTGGGCAGGCAAAAGTCCCTTGATGTCTGCAGGAAGCAGTGCCAAGAGCAAGGGGCTAAGTTGGGTCCTAACCCCAGTCTGAGACCTGATCCTGACCTTAGCTAGGCAGAATCCTGTTTCCGGTCCCAGTCTGAACCATTCAGGGCTTCACAGAGACCAGCGTGCCACTGCTTCCATTCCTGTCACTGGGCAAGTCTCCTCTGTGTACACAGGAAGGTCTTTGACATGCCATGTCATAGCATGGGCAAGGAGGGCACCAAGCCAAGCCTTGGTGATTTGTATTCTAGATAATGCAGAGAGGAAATTGGAAAAGGTAGCAGTTTGGGAACAAATTAATTTTTCAGTCCATTTTAGTGTTTGCAAATAAAAAAATGAGGAAAAATTGAAAAGAGACAACATTTTTCTCAGATTAAATCCAACTACAAAGAGACAAGAACAGGAGTGTTTTGCCTATTAAGGAAGCAGAGGTGGGTAGGAGGCCCCTGGAGTGGAGGAAGATTCTGGGGGCACAGTCAGGCGTGGGCTGAGGAGTTTTTGGGAAACCCATGAACCCTCAGGTAGGTGGGGACAAGGACAAGACAAATAAGTTCAGGGGAGCATAGCAAGAGGAGCCCTAAGTGTTGTCAGCAGCCTGGGATGAAGCAGCTGCCTCTGGTGGCTTCTGTCCCTCTCGGCCCACCTCTGCTGCCAGGTTCAGAGACTATAGGCAGCTGTCAGCCAGCTGACTGCACATCCTATTACACAGCATCAAGTACTCATTGCAAGAAGACACAACAGAATCACACACAGCATCACTGTCCTGCAGCCTGACCACGTTCATCTCCCACCATGCAAGTGTCAGGTGGAAAACAAAATTCAAGAGGACACCAAGTACCTTTGGGTGTCTGTGGGGCTGTCTTCTGAGAGACCACACGGACAGCATTCTGTTCAGGCACAGCTGGGACACAGTCATGGGTTTCTTGAGAGTGGCAATGGGAACAGCAACTCAGGAGGGACCTTAAGGTGCCCACTCTTTGCTGTGCACTGAGGGCCATGCTCCAGGCCAGACGCTCCCACTATATCTTGGGACAGAGGAGGTGGCATGGTGTCTTCATGTTCAGTCATGGGGCCATATCATGGAAGGACTTCAGTGGCCATCAAATTCCATGTTTTCAGTTTACAGATGGGCAGTAGGATATCACGGGAAAGGAATTTCCTCTCCTACCCTAGAAGGACTCTGATATTTCTACAGTAGCCCACGTGGGCTCCCTCCCTCTCCCACATGACAGGTAAAGAGACTTTTTACAATTATGATTGTGCCACTCTTCCTACAAGAGTGGCTCTCTATTGCTCTCAGGACAGAGCTGATGTCATTGGCACTGCAAAGAAGATTCCCCCATCCTCAACCTCCTGCTAAATTTGAGGTGCCCTTCTGAGTGTCTTGTCCTTCCCTGGGGCCATATTGCACCTCTGTGCCTTTGCAGTGCAGTGCGCTTGGCTTTAGCGACCTCCCAGCTTCACACTGCAGTTAGTCCAGCCCTCTCCTACACATCCATCAGTCATGCACTCACCACCTCTGTCCTGTCTGGGTTAGGTGGCCTGCCCTGGGGCCTCCAGCTGGCCCGTGTCACAATAGTTGCTGGATTTTCCATGATCTTCTTGATGATGTGTGTCTCTTGAAGGGCAGGGCCAGTCCTGTTCTGTAATCAGCCCCAGCATCCATCCAAGTACTCCAGGGCCAGGCTCAGTGATCATACAAAAAGAGCAAATGCCTTGGGCTCAGAGCTGGGTGAGTGCAGAACCTGCATTCTTCCTGTGAGGGCAGTCTCCCCTTGTGTGTGTGTGTGTGTGTGTGTGTGTGTGTGTGTGTGTGTGTGTGTGTGAGACTCAGCAGTTACTGCTTTCTTTCCTCTTTGCTTTGTTTTGCCATGCTGGGGATGGAACCCAGGGCCTCATACATGCCAGGTAGGTGTTCTACTACTGAGCTACATCCCCAGCCCAGGGAATTATTTCAAGGAATCCTTGGTGAATAAATTAGAACTCATCCAGTAAAACTCTGCCTGAAGTCCTACTCACCCTTGTGGTTATATGCATTTTTCACTTATTTGGACCTCAGGGACATATAGCAGGATTGGTCATAGTCTTTGATTCATGTACCCTTGTCATCATTAGCCCACACATGGTCTAAATTTATTTTCGCCATTTCTTTTATGAACATTTGTATGAAGCCATAATTGTAATGAGCCAACCACCCAATCTGGAACTTGATCTTTACCAATCACTTACATATGTATCAATACATTTCTTCCCCAGAGGGAACATTTTCTTGTATGTTGCCTTGTATTCTTGCTCCTGTTTTCCCCGGATTCCTCACAGATATGCCTGTCTTTGCAGTGGAGTGAGTCATTTGCCTTTGAACTTGATGCTAGTCATTATGCTTTCTCTCAATCAGAGTCTGCTAGGAGACCACTGTCATGTGGGGACTTGAGAAGATTTCTAAAGCCTGACAGGCATCCTAGAAGCTCACACATCCACCTCAAGGCCAATGGCTGATGAAGGATGACCGTGTCTCCACAGTGGCTGTGGGCAGTGTCACTAGCTTCACTAGCGATCGATGAATATTTACTGATGTGGGGAAATGTTCACTCTGAGTTATTAGAGATACATGATAAATCTAGGGACACTGCCTTATCCTGACTTTATTAAAAATACAAATAAAAACCAAAACCAAAGAAAAGGCAATTTGAATTCAGTCTGTAGTGGCCAACATTTATAATCACAGATCTCTGAAAGACTGAGGCAGGAGGACTGAAATTTCAAGGCCATCCTGGACAGCTTAGAGACTTAGTGAGACCCTGTCTCAAAATAAAAAAGGGTGGGCATGTAGCTTAGTGTGAAGACCCAGATTGGGTGGGGGAACCAACATGAGGGTGTTTGGATTCATAAACTATTGGCCGATACAAGACATGATAAAAATTCTGGGCTGTGAGATAATGAGATTTATTGATTTCTGTGATTTAGTGGACTTCTCATAGTTTTTATGTAAATAATATGCATGCCTTTCATCAATAAACAAGGGTGTTAGAAGTTAAGCAGAGAAGGCCTTGGGTTGGAGAGGCCAGGGCCTGGGCCACCTGCTTGAGGGGAGGGCCAGGTAGGGAGAAGGCTTAGGTCTGCCTGGACTAGCATTGCCTGAGGGCAGAGTTTGGTAAGGGAATCTTGGGGCCTCCCCAAGGTGAGGGGCTTCTATTTCCTGTCTAGTTGCTGCTGGACCGAGCCATGCTTGGTATCTCCACGGTCTGTCATTTGACCATTACATTATGTCTCTAAGATGGACTTGGACCTGACTTCTAACAAAGTAAGGAAATTAAAACTCAGGTCATGTTCCAGGTCCCTCCAAATTCACATGGTGAAGTTGCTCAGGATGTGGTCTTGGTGGGTCTCAGGCCAATGCGAGTGGTGTCATTATAAGAAGGGAAGACTGGGAACAGACAGGCACAGACAGAACACCATGTGAAGCACCCAGAGAAGATGGCCATCTGCAAACCAGGGAGCTAAGGCTCAGAGGGGACCAATACCACCAACACCCTGGTCTTGGACTTAGCTCCTGGATTGTGAGAAGATACATTCCTGTTGATCAGGTACTTTGTCACATAAGCCCTGGGAAACCAATACAGGGGACCTATCCAGGGTCACAAGGGAGCTAGGATCAGACTGATGGCAGAGACACCTGAACTGTTGGCTGGTTCACCGTGTGGAGCCCAGGCAGTAAGATGCTCCTCCTGGATCCCTGCCTCAGGCTGCCTTTGCATGCCCGGCCCCAGGCAGGGCTGCTATTTTTTGTCTCCCTGAGTCCTGATAGATGCTCCAAGATCCAGGAACATCCATGACACTCCCAACCTCTCCCTACCAACACCTCCTCCTGAACCCTAATGAAATCTCCCCAGAGCCACAGGCCCAGCTCCCTCCTCAGCCTGCAGAGCTGCCCTGACTCTGAAGAGCAACCATTTGAAAACTCAGAGGCTTCAGAACTGAGGTCTAACTGTTGCTTCATGTGTCCTTAGCAGGGTGTTATGGTTTGTGTCTAGATGTCCCCTGAAAGCCTCGTGTAGTCATAAGTGGGGTTTTTCCAGAGGTGGCTGAATCTAGAGTATGTGATTGATTCACTGCAATGCGAGGATTAAGGGTGGTATGACTAAGTGTGGGTGATTATTAAACTAGTCCACTGATTGGTTTGGCACTACCCTAATCCCAGTAGCCTAAATAAACAATAAAAGGGGAAGAAAAAGCTACTAAGGACTGTTGCTTGCTTTGCTAACTTCTGCCTGCCATGAACTATTTTTCCTCTCTGATCCCCTCTGCCATACTACCCTGCCTTGGAGCCAGCTGATAATGGATTTTTACAAGCTGTAAGCTAAATAAACTCTTCCTCTTTAACTTTGGTCATGGGGTATTTTGTCTCAGCAACAAGAAAAATAAGATACTGGGTGCCATCTATAACCACAGCAACTGGAGATGGTTTCATACCTTCTGCTGGTCCTCACCTGCCACCCAAGTTTGAGAGTAGAGGGGTTGCTTCTCCCAAATGCCTATCCAAGTACCTTCCTGGGGTATGCATGGGAGAGTGGGAGCACTAAGAG